TTTTTTTTTTTTTTGCTAATAACTTGCATTATTCCCTTTGCAAAAATTGCATCTATGGATATAACATCATTTGTTCGATTGGATAAAAATACTTGAGTAACAATACAATAACTATATTTAATCCTAATAAAAAGGTTGAGTAAGGCTAATCATTTTTATTTCTTCATCACAAATAACCAAAGAAGTTACTTATTGAGACAAGTCCTGGTGGTAGTGGAGGAATCTTCCATCCTGCAACATCAAGAAGAGTGGCGGGATCGATCGATATACCATGATTTGCTTCAAGTATCGGTGGTGCACGATTGTGATGGTCATGATTACTCTCAGCAGTCATTGTTAAGCCGCTTCGATCTTTCTTTCGCTTCTTCTTGTCGGCGTTTTTATCACCACATCCCATTAATTCCGAAACACTGATTTTCCCTGTTCGTACATTCTGAAACAAATAAATATCTATCATAATATTTTGTACCAAATAAATCCAAATTAAATCCACACGTTCTTAACACGTCATTACCTACTTTAACATTACCCAAATTCAAGTCAGATTCATAACGTTTATCCAAGGCAACAGTCAAGTTAGATTATTACAATCTAGCTGAACATAGAATGTATAATATTAGTACTATTTCTTCGAACAAATCAAATAACTTACAGTGGATGAACTAACTCGTCCACGGCGTTGAATTTCATCCAATAATGCAAGCTCTTCCACACTTAAGGACATACGTGCCCTTTCTTTCCCACCAGCTAATTCATTGAAACTCACAGTTCGTGATGGTGATTTATCTTGAACTATTGGTACAATGCACTTTTTACTGGATGACATGATTTCTCTGTATCGTGTCGCGTTGCCACTTGTCTTGTTGCTGTCACTATATTATCGTTTCTATTGTTGTTGTTGTTGTTGTTGATGTTGTTGTTGATGTTGTTGTTGTTGTTGTTCTGTTGTTGTTGTTCTGGTATTATCGATGGATAAATCGTTCTACAATTCCTTCAACTCGAACAATATGAAGAACAAACAGAAAATGAAACAAGTCACATACTATCATACCCATCCATCCATCAACTAACTTATTATCAACCAAAATTTTTTCCCTTTTTTTTTTGTTTTTTTGTTAAACTATCAAAATGTCATCCTAACTACAAGAATCCAACTATCTTTGCAATATCTTATCTAAAGTACCGTTCAATTATCTTCTCTTTTATTCTTACGCGTAAATTAACATCTTTTGAAACCTGTTCTACCCTCCTTCCCCTCCCCCCATCCCCTCACGCAGTAGCAACCTTCTTCTTTTCTTATCAATTTCAATTTAGAAATTTTATATCAGAATGATCAACTCAACTGATGACAAGTATTACTAAAAAGTTTATCCTAAATATTGCATTTCATTCCGTTTTCTTTTGGTGAATAGTGCTCAATTAAAGATAGCAAATCAATGTTCAACAATATCATCAATGATTTCAAATTCTGAATTTGACCTTTAATTCACAATGTTCATCTGTTACTTTCAATGTCACCTCTTCTTTTTTTTTTTTTTTTTAAGTTAAATTATGAAGACTTTTTAAGGAAAGAAGAATGCAATTAAATACGTACGTTCCTAATGAATGAATCAGTGAAAGATAAAAGAAATGCTCAAAATTATTCAAAATTAAATTTATGCAAAAAAACAAAAAAAACGTACATTTTCAAATATGAATCATAGATTTGTAATAGGTATAAGAATAGAAGAGATAGTTAGCATAATGTTATAAAAATACGATACATTCCCATACGCTTATCATACGTAACTAGAGAATCAATCAATAATAGCTGGAGGTAATAATTATTTATATTTATCTTATAAAATTTTTCAAATTTCATGTAATATGTAACAAATCTAGAATTTTAATTTTAGAATTATTTGGAATTATATTCAAGAATTACTGTATTCTACAAGAAGTAATGATTGTAAAATGTAATAGAGAAGTACACGTAATACACGTAACGCACGTTTACACATAAGTTATTCTTGAATTACATTTTGAAGCAATAACAATAGCAAACCGACCAATCGCTGTGATAACAAATAACTGAATAATATGTTTCTGGCTGAATATCATGGCATGATCTAATGCTGTATGCAAATTAGTAAAATTGCACACGTGCATACTGCAACCGTAGCAATCCTGGAACATTCTAGAATTATCAGGAATTATATTCGAGAATTTCATTAGTTCTGGAAGAGAAATTACTGTATTCTGCATTCCATCCATTCTGGCAGCGAAATAAATTCTAGGATTACTGTATTTCGTTAATCCTAGGGGATGGAATTATCGTATTTTGTATTCTGTTTATCCCGGTTATGGGATACATTCCAGGATTACTGTGTATGTTTTAGCGAATGCTATTATCCTTAGCTTATTGTATATGGATTCCAGAGTTACTGTATGTATATGTATACTAGGGAAGATAAATTGCTCCTGAACTACATGGTTCGATCTGTTAATATTGCTTATAGGTATTGCAGCATGCATTATGCATTATTAACATGCATACAACATGTAATGCTTACTTTATGCATAAGCATAATATTTTCCGTGATTACCGTATACATTCTATGTTTTAGCATGAATAATGCACATATGTATATATATATATATATATATATATATATATATATATATATATATATATATAAGGATTAGGGAGTTTTGTAAGTTCCATGGGGTTAATATGGAGGTGTGGCTAGCGTTTGGCATTGTCCATTGTATAGGTACAATGATATCATTATCCATGGTGTAGATACTACGACGTTTTTGTGTTATGCTGTCCATTGTTAGCTTATATTTTCATTGCTT